TGCTGTGCCTTCTTGATGTCGGGACAGCGGAGGAGCGCCTGCCAGAAACTCGACCAGCTTGCCGAATCTGACTCGCTCGACCAATGCAGCCACACATCGACGTTGCTGATGAGCCCTGCAAGGTTGGCATCGCCCGACATCTTGGACAGCAGGTGAGAGTCGTGCTGGCTCACGAAGGAGGCGAACTTGGGTAGCCCAGCGATCATCATGGTGGCACGGAAGTTACTGACGGCGTCGAGGTATCGCTGATCATTTCCCCAAATTTCTGGCATCGCATAGTCTGGCACTGTGGTCACCGTGGTCACCTCCTCCTCCTTGGCGCATTCGCAGAGCTGCATCAGCCCCTCCAAATGCAGGAAGACGCCACCGTCATTCTTGAAAGCGGTCGCGCAGCACTCAATCAGGGCAGAGATGTCTAGGCGCTTGGTCGTGACGTCGAGCTTCGGCTTGATGACCTTGAGCACCCTCTGGGACCACTGAACGAAGTAGTCCCGGAGATCCACAGGCAGGTCTAGGTCGCACGAGTCCACGAAGCTGCGCGCGGCTGCCTCGGCGGCAGGCAGCGGCAAACCCTTGCCCTCTTTACTTCCTCCTCTACTCAGCCTCTCCTCCTCCTTCTCCTCCTCAGCCTCCTCCTCCTCCTCCTCCTCCCCTTCTCCTCCTCCTCCTCCTCCTCCTCCTCCTCCTCCTCCTCTCCTCCTCCTACTACTCCTCCTCTCCTCCCTCCTCCTCTCCTCCTCATCCTCCTCCACCTCTTCCTCCTTCTCCTTCGTGCTCCTGTCCTCTCCTCGCCTCCTCACTCGCTAGCTGTCTTGTGGTCTTAGCAGGTCTAAGGTTCTCAGATGTTCCTAAACCTTCAGAAGGATGGCCACGAGACTGCTCCAAGAGCTCCAAGAGTCGAAGGGTCCAAGGGCCCCCCCCCCACCTACCCCACCCCCACCCCAGAGGCCCCAGACTGCCAAAAGGCCCTTTGCGTGCCCTCTCTTGCCCTCTCGCGCGCCTTGACCTCCTCCTTTGACACGGACTCCGTGAACTTGGCTCTGTAGTGCATGATGAGCAGGTCCTTACCATCAGGCACGTTCAGGTCCTTCAGGTCGATGTCGACGTCAACATCGCCGCTGTTGCCGCTGCCCTGCGACGATGCTCCCGCCTCCTCCATGTCGACTGGGGAGAGCAAGTCAAGCACGTGACCGTGATGCCGCCTCATGACTCTACGGATCGTGCTTCGCAGCGCAGTCCAGGTCTCGCAGTCGGAAAACAATTGCTCGTTGATAACTTTCGACTTCGCCGCGAAGTGCATGCCGTTCCTGTAGCAATCGCGGAGGGTCTCCACATTGAGCTTCTCGTCGGGAACCTTGCGAACCACTGCGACAACGGCGCTGTAAAGCTCGTCCAAGAACTTCTTCTCGCGGCTTTGTGGCGCCTTCACCTGCGCCCCCGCCGACCCAGTTGCCCCAGTCGCCCCTTCCTCCTCGTCAGAGCCTGCAAACGCCTCGGCCGCCAAGTCAATCTTGGTGCCGATGGTCTCAACCGCCATGTCTGGTTGATCCTCGTCGTCGAGATCCTCGTCGGCGGCGGCCCCGGCGGCCCCCTTCCTTGCTGCCGCCTTTGCAGCTGCCTTTGCCTTTGCCTTTGCCTTCGCCTTCGCCTTGGACTTGGGCCTCCCCTTTGGCTTCGCCTTTGGCTTGAACATCACAGAACCGCCCATGTCAAGCTGAAGTCTCATAATGAAGTCGCCCGTCTGAGCGGAGTCGGCGCAGATCCAAGCGGGGTCATCGCCTGGATCTTCGAAAGACAGCACCTTGGGCACGCAAAACTTGAAGGCCTCGGTCAAGATGATAATCAAATGGAACTCGGGGATAGTCTCACTGAAAGTCTTAGTGATCTCTGCAAGCACGTCCCGAATGGGGGCCATAATCTTCTCAGTGTTCATGCTCGGGTGGCAAAAGTTCACTCACGAACACATGGCTTCCAGGAATTGTTTCCCCATTTTGAAGCGATCCAGCCCACTGACGATTACCTTCGAATTCGTGAAGCTGAAGTTGTTCTTCCACACCCCTGGGAACTGTTTGGATACGTGCTTCCAGTATTGTTGCAAATATGTATCAGGACCCGTGGACGGGCAACTTCTTGACGTGATGCGCTTCTCCCTGGCGTAGATCTTCCACGACTTGTCCGCGTCGCCGACGCGGTCCATCGTCTCGAGGAAAGACGTTCCAGCTCCGCGGTGAAAGGCATTGTTCAGCTCCTTCAGGTATATCAGCACGTCGCCGGGCGCCTCCTGGTGGAGCTGACCCCGTTCGGCAAAGACCGCCGCACATACCTGTTGCGCGGTTCCCGCATGAAAGCGATGTATACGGCTTCCACCAGCGCGGCCGAGCTCATGAGAAGATACTTGCCATCATTGGCACCGCTCGGCACAGCCCAGCATTGCCCACGGACGCCAACCACTGCCCCAGTCGCAAGTATTGATCGCACATAAGTCTCACGAGTTGTCGCGTGCTCACGCGCATTGAGCCTGTGCCTCTCGAGCGCCTTGACTTGGTCGGACGCGTTGCGCCCGATGAAGAAAGCCAGCTTGGCGCCCTGCGGTGCGATGGTATAGTCCTCGGAGACTCTCTGCTGCAGCAAGTTCCCCTTCAAGCCCGGGTAGCGCACCGATATGCTCTCGCACGGCTCAAACCGGCCGACCATCATCTGAACGTCGGCGTTGGCGTCGGCGTCGTCATCTTCGAACAACGGCGCGAAGGAACCGCCGTCCATCTGAGCCATCTGGCTCGACTTCGGGGATCGGGGCTCCGAGAGGTTGAGTTGAGAAAGAGAGAAAGATAAGAATGCCTGACGCCCGGCCGCCCCCTCCGGAGGGGCCTGAAAACTCCAGCCAAAATGCTTCGGGTTGGATGGTGGCCACAGGGCCTCAAGGACTGCGCGCCAGCACGCCAGCACTGGCAGGGGCCTGTCCCCCTCCGAGTCCGCTCCTCCTCCTCTCCCTCCTCTCCTCCTCTCCTCCTCTCATCCCTCCTCCTTCTCATCCTCCTCCTCTGCATTCGTCCTCCCTCCTCCCCTCGGGACTCCTCTCCCCCCCTCCTCCTCCTTCACCCTGCCCTCCTACACTAAGTCACTAAGTCCTAGAGATTGCGGCGGTTCTTGCGTTCTTGAGGCGCGGTGTTTCGTCGAGCGGCATGTGTTGGTATGCGTGATATGCTTAAGCTTGCTGTGCTATGCTATGTTTTCAACTTACACTGCGAACTTAGGATGAGGATGAGGAAGGAGGGGATTCCTGAGATAGATTCTTGAGCTGCGGGACACGTGACAACTTGTGAGAACTGATTATGTTCGATGGTTTCCACCTCCTGGACCCTGGGGGTGACCCTGGTTGCTGCTGCGGCTGCGCATTCACGCGGCGGCTTCGCCCGGACGGCAGCCAGCCCCTGAGACAGCGGGCTATGGTCAGCGCGATCAGGCCTCGAAATAGAAAACAACACTTCCAAGGGCAACGCAACGTGGGCAAGTCGCATATCCGAGGGTCCGAGGGAAGAGGGGAAGCGGGGCCTCACAGGGCCCCCAGGGAAGGAGGCGATGGGGTGGAACAAGTTTTCAGAACGGTGGCCCAAGGGACCTCGGAACCAAAACATCAGTTGGTCTCAGTTGGTTGCAACGTTGCGCACGTTCCGCGTGGGAAATCAACAGCGCGCCGCCCTGTGGCGGCGGCGGCAAGCGTCGTCCGCGTCGGAGTCAACGTCAACGCCGTTCGGGCCCAGCTGAGCTGGCTGCGCGGCAACAGGAGGCGCGGCCGCCGCCGCCGCCCCCGCTCCGGCCGGTTCGATCTCCTGCGGGAGGGCGGGCACCCTCATCAACCCCATACTCCCTTCCTCCCTCTCTCTATCTCTCTCCTCACTCTCTCCCTGCCCCCCCTCTCGCTCTCTCGGTGTCGCTCTCTCGCCTCTCTCTCCCTCTCTCTAACTCTCTCTTACTCTCTTTCTCTCTCTCTCTCTCTCTCTCTCTCTCTCTCTCTCTCTCTCTCTCTCTCTCTCTCTCTCTCTCTCTCTCTCTCTCTCTCTCTCTCTCTCTCTCTCTCTCTCCGAGGGGCGGGGCGGGCAGGGCCGGCGGCGACGACGCCGACGACGGCGGAGTCCGTGATGAACATGTAATTGTACAGCAAGGCCAGGCCGATCATGTGGACGTTCATCGCGTTGCCAGACTGGTGCAACACCTCGCTGCGCTTGCGATCGGGGATGTGGAAGTCGTTCCTGTCGCGCGTGAATGACGAGTCACCCTTCGCGCCGAACGGCGCCATCACTGGAAGCCCTTGCGCTAGCAACGTTTCCATGGGAGTTACCCAGCGGCCATGGACGGTCGAGAACAACATCGACATGTTCCTGATGAGCGTCGGCAGAACGTTTGTCGTGCCATGGCGTGGCCACATAAAAAGTTCTGGTTCAGGAAATATGTTTGATCTCCGCCGTATTTCTCCATGTGCCCATACAGGTTCACCAGCTCCCAGAGGCTGAGGGCCTCAAGGAGGAGAAGGAAGAGAGGAGGAGAAGGAGGCAGGATGAATTGGAGCAAGGGATAAGATGAGGGAGGATGGAGAGAGGCAGGAGGAAGGAGGAAGAGGAAGGAGGAGAAGGAGGAGGAGGAGGAGGCGAGCGGAGGAGAGGAGGAGAGGATGGCCTTTGTTCATGCAGACCTCCTGTGCAACGACGCCAGCTCGTCGACAAGAGCAGTGCCCTTGTTGGCAGCGGCAGCATCGGCGTACTTCAGCATCTTCTTGAGACCGCTGCCACCGTGCTGCCTGCCAGCGGCAAGTGCCGCCCTGAGGCCCTCGTCGGCATGCCTATAGAGTGAGGACGGCCGAGAAGAAGCCCACCGAAGCTCGTCTAGCAACTCCTTCGGCTCAGCAACGAAGAGGTCGCGCCAGGTCAACCCGTCAATGATCCGGGTGGTGGCGGGAGCGATCGCGTCCCAGGGGCGGGAGATGATCAAGTCCTTCTTGATGCCAAGCGTGATCCTGCGCTGCGTCGCTTGCGTCCAAGCAGTTGTACATGGCCGCCATGTACAACTGCTGGTCGGGCTGCTCGTCGCCTTGCATGAAAGCCGCCTCCACGTCCGCCGCGTAGATCTCCAGGTCGAACCTCTGGCAGATGGTGAAGAACAGCATGGTCGAGATGCGGGTGACCGTGGGCGCGTCCGTCCGCAGGTCGCCCTGAGCGAGGCGCGGGTCCATGTGACCCCCGACACAGAGTCGGGCCTTCGCCTTGACCGGCAGTGGATGCTTGTCGGTCCGCAGCGGGGCGTTCTTGTCCCGGTACACAAACCGGCTGGGCAGGATGAGGCTGAGCTTGACCATGCCCCTGATCGCCTCGGACTCCTCGATGGAGAGTACCTGACAAGAGCCATACTTCTGCCACTCGCTCCACTGCTTTGCGGCCGCCTCCCTGAAGAGCTCCCGATCGGAGTCCTTGATGGCCCTCCAGTGGATCTCCTTGTCGGCCTGCTTGCGCTTGATCCTCTCGGTCACGATGGAGGTTTGCAGCACTTGTCTTGGAGCCGACCTCGAACGTTGGCGGGCTCCTTCTGCTTCGGGTCCGGCTGCTGCCTCTTGATCGGGCGCGGTCGCGCGAAGTTGCCCATGCGGGCAGGGCGCCAGAGCCTGCGTGCTCCCTCTCGGTCTGGAGGCGCTTGAAGGCCGGGCCGAAGTCGCCGCTGTCCCCTCCGTCGAAGGTAGCTCGACGTCGTCGGAACTCGGCAGGGCCGTAGGTTCGCTCTTCTTCAGCTTGCTGCGGCACGTCGGCGGGCAGCACCTGGATCTGCTCCTGCTGGGGCGGATCCTCGGAGACATTCAGCCTGAGGTCGCTGTCGTCCGGGTTGTCGATAAATTCCCGCCACGCCTGCTCCATCTCGTCTGGCTTGACCTCGGGCTCGCCAGGCGCCGGGCGGATGTCCTCCACCGGAGCCTCTTCCTGTTCGACCGAGTCGCGAGCCCGGTTGAGCTCGGCCACGGCCTGACCGATCTCGCCCCTGCCGTTCGGGAACCAGACGTCGTCCGGAGCGAGTGCCTTGATGTGCTCCGGGGCCACCAGCATGGTGTGCCCTCCTAGCGAGACCCAGGTGTTCTCGCCATGGTGGCCGATGACTACGCACGGCCCTCGCCAGATGCCCTTCTTGGCGTTGCGGTTGTGCTGCTCCCGCTGCTCCTTCTTCTTGACCTGGCGGAAGACGTAGCACATCTCGCCCACTGACAAGGGCGTCGCCACCGTGCGCGCGCGAACCAACATAGCTCGCCGGAGCTGGTCGTCGTTCTGCATCCTGAACGACTCGCGCGCCGCCGTCCGAATAGCATATCGTCGGCGAATATTCTCGTCTTTGGCCGCGAGGCTGTGGGCGCTGTAGTTGGCCGTATCGTCGACTAGGTATCCAGGCATCTTGGGGTCGCGTCCCAGCACCCACTGCGCGGGGCTGAAGCCTGCTCGCCTTCTCAGCGAGTTCTTCGCGCCCGATACCATGATGGCCAGCGTCCGCATCTCGTCCTCGCCCCTGATCGACGAGTGCTCGATCGTCCTCGCCGCGAGCTCCTTCCGCCAAGCTCCCTGGCGTTCCACGCGACCGAGCTGCCAATGTGCCTGACCGGCGATGGGCAGCTGCACCGTGTTGAATGACTGGAACAGCTCGCTGAGGGCGCCGCCGAACCCCTTCTCCATGTCGAAATGGACTCGGTCCGGCACGCCCGCCCAGGAGGCCCAGCACCTCTCGAACGCGGCGGCGAACTCCTGGCTGGTGTGGCGACCGATCAGCGTCGCGACGTGGAAGGTGGTGGCCAGGTCGACGATACTGAAGTACCAGTAGCTCTTGCCGTCGACGTCCTTGAGCTCGAAGCAGTCGAAGCCGACGTCGTCTCCAAAATCTTGCACGAAGTGGAGGTGCGCTGGTCTCCTCGCGCTCGGGCGCTGCTGCGAGCGGCACACCCCGCAGATCAGCCCCTTGACGGCCTGGACGGTGGCCGACTTAGCGCCTTTGAGTCGCAAGCTGCGGCCCAAATCTTCATTAGACGGATGGCCCAAGTTGACATGGAGTCTCTTGAGCATGGCCAGCTCGGCTGGCTTGCAGCAGGCTGCTGCTTTCTTTGTGAAGGTAATCGCGCCGACCCCGATCCTGCCGTCCACAGTATCTTCGGCCCGCACGTCGTGAGTGTCGGCGAAGTCGTCTCCGCCGCCCATGGGGTCTGGGCCCCCATCAGGCTCGCCCGTTTCTCCCAGGGGCGCGGTGTCGTTCACGTAGGCGGCGGCCTGCTCCCTGGGCACTGTCACGATGAAGGGCGACGAGTGCGACTGGCAGTCCACCTGGTAGGCGCGCTGCCCACCTTGCTGGCGAATACCCTGCTCCTCGATGCGTACCACCGCTCGGCAGAACTTAGCAGGATAAAAGCCAGACTTGCGCACCGCCACGTTGTCCCCGAAGGTCTGGTCGTGGTGCTTGCGGCTGCAGGTGCGCTTCAGCTGCTCGAACTCCTTATGGGTAACGAGCAGCTTCGCGGGGTGCTTGATGAGTCCCCCCGTCTTGTAGTGTCGAGCCCCGTACTCGCACATGTCGCACCCCACCTGGTACACGCGCTCGTCTGCCAGTAGCTCCAAAATCGCGCGCTGTGTCCAGAGCCGGCTGGTGGCCGGTTTCTCGATCATGGCCATGTCGCCAGAGTCGAGCTGGTACTGGAAGAGGTCGCGGGCCAATGAAAGGAACGGCCGCTCCGCCCTCCAGATCCGCCGGAGCGCCTGCTTGGCCTGCGGCGTCCGAAAGTTGAGGTGCGTGATGTTCGTGTAGTAGGCGCAGGGTAGCTCGATTGACACGAACTTCGGCCTCGAGGCGTAGTACAGGTCGTACGTCGCGTCGAGGTCCTTCTGCTTGCGCAAGTCCCAGCCGTGCTTGCGGTCGATCACCTCTGTGGCCGTCATCTGGCGCTTCCACGCCGCCTCGGTGATGCCGCCTTCGCCTCCGAACACCTGCATGACGTCCACGCGGTGGCTGCGAACGCTGTAGGCCTCCTTGACGTTCTGGACGTGGTAGACCATGTCTCGCGCAGCACTGGTAGCATGCTGCGCCACTGGCTTGAGAGGTCTAGCCAGCCAGTCCGCGGTGAGCACCGTCTGAAAGGCGAAGGCGCTCAGCAAGCCCGTGACCTGGTAGAGGAGGCCGACGCGCTTGCCCTTCTTGATGCCTGGCCGCCGCCTCGGGGCTGGCGACCCGTCCTGGCGGCCACCGCCGCCTAATCTCGGCTCTGCTGAGGTTCCCGGGAGCCGCTCGGGTGATCCTCCCTGTCGGTCTCGCCAGCCTTCTCGAAGCCCATGTCGCTGGTGTCCATCTCGTGCGGCTCCGGAGGGCGCTGGCGCCGATGCCCAGCTCAGCTCCCCCGGCTTGCTGACGCCCTCGTGGTCGTCGCCGCTGGCGCCACCCACTCGTCGTCCAGCACCACCTCCTCGGCCATCGCTGCCTCCAAAGTGGTATTGGCCTTCTCCGGGGCGAGGGGCTGCGCTCCGTGCGCCTTGACCCACCTGGCAAACCGCGCCAGGAGCGGGCTTGCCCGGTTGCTGTTGAGCTCCAGGACCGCCCACTGCGCGTAGCCCAGGTCGTTCTTGAGCACCCAGCGGTAGTCCGCCGTGGGGTACTTGCCGAAGCGCATCTTGTCGTCCCCGGTGATCTGTGAGCTCGGATGAGCCACCGTTGCCGAGGCACTGCTGGCCGCGTCCTCGACCTTCCAGCCCTTGAGGCGCTGCCTGAGCTCCGGCACGGTCGCGCGCTGGTCGAACTCGATCTTGCGGTCCCAGCACAGCTGCTGGAGCTCCTCCTGGTTCTTCTTGCCGGGCCCCGGGATGTAGTTGCCCTGCGGCGTGCTCTCGCGGCCCTCGGCCCTCAGCGCGCGCAAGATCACCCGGAGCTGGTCGCACGTGGCGTCGCGCACATCCAAGTCGTAGCTTGCCACCTCGGCCTGCAGCTCCGGCATCCGCATGCTGGATATCGCCGGGGGACGGGCAGTACTCGTCGTCGGCAAGTTCTGGTTGCTGCTCCCCGGGCTCGTCTCCTTGGGAGATGTCGTACATCGCTGGTGCGGCGGGGGCATAAGCGCCGGCCGCTGGTTCGTAGAAAGCTGCGGTGGATGGATCTGCCACGGCACGCGTCGCACTCGCTGGTGGAGCCACAATTGAACTCGAGCCGGATGGCTGCGGTGATGATGTAGTTTGATGACTGCGTGCTGATGGCTGATCTCGTGGCTCGCCACGGCTTGCTTGCTGCTGAAATCGAACACGCCGTGACGGAGAATCGCTGCGAGGTTTAGCTCCTCGTTCGTCATGATCGTGGTTTGTCTGCATAATCTGTGCGGTGCCGACTGACCTAGTACACACTCCCCAGGCCTCGTCTTCCGATCCCGACGACGATTGACGTGATGGAATGTATGCGCTCATGGCCTGGCGCACCTGCTGCTCGAACAGTTCGGCGCTATCGAGCGCGTCGCAGTCAGTGTCCGACTGAGACTCGTCGGCCTCCGAGGCGACCCCTTGGCGGCGAGCCTCGGGCACCGCCGGCTTGGCGGCGCTGGCCACAGCTGTCTCAGCGCGGTAAGAAGCGCAAGGGTGGAGACGAACGTCGGCCTTGGTATCCGAGACGTCCGAAACGGGCTTGTAGCTCGGCGTAAAGTGTGCGATGTCCAGCGTCGGGTGTCTGGCGCGGCTCGGCCCCATCTGGATGTCGTGCTCGTCGATCGATTTGATGTCCAGCTTGTTGTCTCCGGCGTGGTAGACTGTGTCCAGCTCGCTCTGGGCCTCGCGGCCGAACAGGCCTGGCACGGCGCTGCGCACGATGCTCATGCTGACGGTGAAGGCCTTGCCGTTCACCGAACAGGGGATCAGCGCCGCCTTGAGGCTGAACACCACCTTGGACGCCCCGAATCGGAACGGCTCCTTCTCGGGGTACTCGACGGGCTGGATGTTGAAGGCGGCCAGCCTCTTCTTGATGTCGCTGTACCAGTCGAGGCCGCCGACGCACCGCGCGCAGGCCGTGTCGAAGGTCAGCTCGCCCCCCGACTCCTTCAGCAGGTCCTCGACGCAGAGGTAGATAAGCGCCGAGCTCGTCGCGGCCATCAGGCACTGGTGGTCCTTATTGATGAAGAACGCCGCTGCCGTAACTTCTTCGGGTAGCCCGGCGGCCTGGCGCATCTGCGTCCAGTCGATGCTGTGCAGCGCGCCGTACTTCCTGTCGCGAGCCGCGGCCCGCTGGTCCTGCTGGTAGACCGCCGCGACCGTCCTCTCCGCCACGTGAGGCCCCTGCGCGTCGCTGGTCTCGTTCGTGGCGATGTTCGTCCTGTTGCTTCCCTTCCTCGGGATGTCGGCCTTGGCGTTAGGGTCTTTCTTCTTCGGGCACTGCGGGTCACCGCGCCAATGGCCCTTCTGGCCACATGCGCCGCAGTGTGTCCTTGCCTTCATCTTGGCGATCTTGGGATCGTCTCTCTTCGGCGGGTTGCCGCCGTCGCGCTTGGCGAAGTAGCCGCGCGCCTGCTTCGCCTCCTTCAGCTTGTCCTTGGCGCGCACAATCTTCTTGGTGAAGAAGGCTACCTGCTCCTCCGCCTCGTCGACCGCGTCCTGCAGCCCGTCGGGCAGCTCGTCCTCGTAGTCGTCGGAGCTGTCTGAGGACGCGCCGTCGAACTCGGCCCTACGATCCTCCTCGTAGGTCTCCGTGGCGCACGCCCGCTTGTGGTCCTTGTTCTTGCGACCTCCGTAGCCTCCTTTGTCGTGGCTGTCCTTGTGGCCGTCCACGACCGATACCTTGGGCAAGTTGATCATCAACTGCTCCTGGACCTTGGTAGGGTTAAACTTGTGGCCCACACCGTTGGGCACGCTCGCCGCGCGCTCCGGGGGCAGGCGGGCCCCCTTGATGCACAGGTCCGCCAGGACCTCGTCGGGCACCTGGATGCCCTTGGCCTTCAGCTTGGTGGCGATCCCGTTGAAGCGGTTGTTGTAGTCGCGAATCTCCTCGCACTTGTGCCGGACGCAGGCCGGGCGCACGAAGGTCTCCAGCAGCGCTGGAGTCTCCAGCACCTCGATCTCGGGAAAGCGCTTCCCGAGGTACTCCAGGAACACCTCCACCGAGTCGTCGCCCTTGATGGAGTCGAGTTCGAGCTCCTCGCACGCTTCCTCGGCCTTGCCCTTCAGGCTGGCCAGCAAGGTCGCCCCCTGCATGGGCGGCTTGACCTCGGTCCTGATCTACCAGGTGGCGACCTCTCGGCGGTGCTTCTTCATGGTCTTGCTCGCGCCATCGAAGACGGGTGCTGGGATCTTGCCCCCGTTGCTCTTGTCCTCGCCGCTGGCTGCTGCGGCTCCTCCTGCCGTCGCCATGGTGGCGACCTCGAATGAGAGGTACAGTCGCAATCCAAATCACGAGCCTGTAGTGCTTGCCAAATGACTCTGCGAAGTCGCGCACGTAGCTGCCGTGGTCGAGTTAGCTCCTGCTACCAATGCAGACCCGACATTGCGATGAAGGGTCTAGGTGCGATGATAACCGCGAGGTTGTCGTTGTCAGCAATGACGTAAATGTATCAGCAATGATAGGCGATGGTTTGTTGCTCAGCGGAACCTGCAAAGGTGCCTACCGATGCGTCCAAGCTCAAGGGCCCTGGAAAGGATTGAGCCCAAATGGTTACGAAGGGACATGTCACCTTCCGTCTGAATATTAGCACATTCTGCTTCCTTGCTGGCACGCTATGCTACACTGCTTACAGATCAGCACTGACACTATTGTTCACATTGGTGGTGATGGGCGGAACTCGTGCCCGTATCGGTGGTCGTCGTGGCCGTCTTGGTGGTCGTCGCGGTGGTCGTCTCAGTTGCTGCCTCGGCGAAGTCGAACACGTACGCGGAGCCTGAATTGTAGCCCCGGTCGTCGTCATAGTAGGCCCCCACCACCACGCAGGCCCCGTCGGAGCTCACGGCCACCGAGGAACCGAACAAGTCGAGTTCGGCCCCCTCACTCTCCACAAGCTTCAGCAGCCTCTCGCAGGTGGTACCGTCGGAGCCGGAACTGTCGCCCTGGTCGTCGTCATGTTTGCTCCCCACCACCACGCGGGCCCCGTCGGAGCTCACGGCCACCGAGTAACCGAAACGGTCGTCTGCAGCCCCATCACTCGCCACAAGCTTCAGCAGCCTCTCGCCGGTGGCCCCGTCGAGCACGTACACGGAGCCGGAACTGGAGCCGTCGCCATAGGCCCCCACCACCACGCGGGCCCCGTCGGAGCTCACGGCCACCGAAGAACCGAAAAAGTCGAAGTTGGCCCCATCACTCGCCACAAGCTTCAGCAGCGTCTCGCTGGTGGCCCCGTCGAGCACGTACACGGAGCCGGAACTGGGGCCCTGGTCGTGGTCACCATAGGCCCCCACCACCACGCGGGCCCCGTCAGAGCTCACGGCCACCGAGGAACCGAAACGGTCGTCTGCAGCCCCATCACTCGCCACAAGCTTCAGCAGCGTCTCGCCGGTGGCCCCGTCGAGCACGTACACGGAGCCGGAACTGGAGCCGTCGCCATAGGCCCCCACCACCACGCGGGCCCCGTCGGAGCTCACGGCCACCGAGGAACCGAACCAGTCGTCTGCAGCCCCATCACTCGCCACATGCTTCAGCAGCGTCTCGCCGGTGGACCCGTCGAGCACGTACACGGAGCCGGAACTGGGGCCCTGGTCGTCGTCACCTAAGGCCCCCACCACCACGCGGGCCCCGTCGGAGCTCACGGCCACCGAGGAACCGAACCAGTCGTCTGCAGCCCCATCACTCGCCACATGCTTCAGCAGCGTCTCGCCGGTGGACCCGTCGAGCACGTACACGGAGCCGGAACTGGGGCCCTGGTCGTCGTCACCTAAGGCCCCCACCACCACGCGGGCCCCGTCGGAGCTCACGGCCACCGAGGAACCGAACCAGTCGTCTGCAGCCCCATCACTCGCCACAGGCTTCAGCAGCGTCTCGCCGGTGGCCCCGTCGAGCACGTACACGGAGCCGGACTTGTCGCCCTGGTCGTCGTCATAGTCGTTTCCCACCACCACGCGGGCCCCGTCGGAGCTCACGGCCACCGAGGAACCGAACCAGTCGTCTGCAGCCCCATCACTCGCCACAAGCTTCAGCAGCCTCTCGCCGGTGGCCCCGTCGAGCACGTACACGGAGCCATGAATAGTGATCTGCCAGTCTTCGTAGAGTAAACGGCCCCCACCACCACGCGGGCCCCGTCGGAGCTCACGGCCACCGACATTCCGAACCTGTCGTTGTCGACCCCATCACCCGCCATGAGCTTGAGCAACTGCGCGCCGCTGGTAGACAGGCGCCTCCCGAACTCGGCCTGCGGCTCGCGAGGGCGACCGCTCGCCGAGCCCTCCACCCTCGGGCGGGCCAGCGTCCCGCTCGCCGGCGACCCGGCGCTCGGGGTGCCGCGCGCTGCCAGCAGCAAGAGCAGCGCGCCGACGCTGTGAGACGTGCGCAGGCGCATCATGCCGTCTGCAGATGTGCAGAGCTGAGCGGAACGAGAGACGCCAGAGGGGAGCCCTGGGAGGCCGGCGACGGCCCCTCGAAACCTTGAGCCAAAATTGCGACCAGCCCCGATGGCTTGCCCAAGACATTCCTTGTCCGGATTCACCGTCATCATATGGTTACAGCATCATCATTGCTCTTCTCTTTTACACTGGAATTCCTTGGTGATGCTTTCCGAAGGATTCCTTGTGTGACGCTTTTAACTATAATCCCTTTGTGGTACCGTCCATTTTTTTTTTTTTTTTGTTTTTTTTTTTTTTTTTTTTTTTTTTTTTTTTTTTTTTTTTTTTTTTTTTTTTTTTTTTTTTTTTGCGAGGCTTTCCTATATGATATTTTCGCTGTGCTTTCCAAAGGATTCCTGCTGTGAGGCTTTCCCATAGAATCCCTTTGTTGCGCTTTCCAAAAGATTCCTTTTGTGAGGTTGTCCAATCGGATCCTTTTGTAGTGTTTTCCAAAGGATTCCCTTTTATGAGGCTTTCCAGTAGAATCACTTTGTGATGCAGAGGAGGCGGAGGAGGAGGAGGCGGAGGAGGAGGGGGAGGAGGAGAAGAGAGATCTGTATACATACATATATATACATATATGTAGAGAGATATGTAGAGAGAGAGAGAGAAAGAGAAAGAGAGAGAGAGAGAGAGCGAGAGAAAGAGAGAACGAAGAAGAGTGGAGGAGGATGAAGACGAGGAGGAAATATGTATGATCATGTGGGTGGGGGGGTAGATCGCCCCCCCCCCCACACATGATCATACATATCTCCTCTTCCTCCTCCTCCTCATCCTCCTCCGCTCTTTTTCGTTCTCTCTCTCTCTCTCTCTCTCGCTTTCTCTCTCTCTCTCTCTTTCTCTCTCTCTCTCTCTTCTCTTTGTCCTCCTCCTCAAAGAGTCCTTTGGAAACCACCACAAGGGGATTCGATTGGAAAGCCACATAAAAAGGGAATCATTTTGGAAAAAACGACAAGGGGATTCTATTGGAAAGCCTCAAAGTCGGAATCCGTTGGAAAGCACCACAAGGGGATTCTATGGGAAAGCCTCACAAAAGGAATCCCGTGGAAAGCACACAAAGGGATTCGATTGGAAAGCCTCACAAAAAGGAATTCTTTGGAAAGCACAGCAAAGAGATTCGATGGGAAAACCTCACAAAAGGAATACTTTGGAAAGCACAACAAAGGGATTATATTGGAAAGCCTCGCAATAGAAAGCACCACAAAGGGATTCGATTGGAAAGCCTGACAAAGGGATTCGATTGGAAAGCCTCACACAAGGAATCCTTTGGAAAGCACCGCAAAAATATCCGATTGGAAAGCATCGCAAAAGGAATCCGTCGGAAAACACCACAAAGGGATTATATTGGAAAACCTCGCAAACAAAAAAATCCTTCGGAAAGCACAACAAAGGGATCCGATTGGAAAGCCTCACAGAAGGAATCCTCCGGAAAGCGCCACAAAGGGATTCGATGGGAAAGCCCCACAAAAAAAATACCCTGTGACGTACCCAACCCATTTGTATCATGGGAAACGAGGAGTTGGCCGAAACTTGCATGGACAATCAAACTGCAGGATCCGATGTTTAATATGTAAACTACTTGGGGCACGCGCCTATGGCATGATGCGCAAGAGAACCATACAAGAACGAGGGGCGACACCTACAGGCTCGAAGAGGACATGGGGAGTCGGGAACGAAGAGCTGGAGAAAGACGTGCGGGAAGCCCACTGTGCTGGCCCCCCCAGCAGGCTTCGAAAGTGGCGACAGTTTCACAGATCCGCGGGGTCAGGGTCCAAAAACACAGGGGATTTGCCACATTTCTGAAATTCGGTGCCACCCCTCACGCAGATCCGCGGCGTCAGGGTCCAAAAACAAAAAGGATTTGCCACATTTCTGAAATTCGGTGCCACCCCTCACGCAGATCCGCGGGGTCAGGGTCCAAAAACGCATGTGATTTGCTACATTTCTAAAATTTCGTGCCACCCCTCACGCAGATCCGCGGGGTCAGGGTCCAAAAACACAGGGGATTTGCCACATTTCTGAAATTCGGTGCCACCCCTCACGCACATCCGCGGCGTCAGGGTCCAAAAACACAAAGGATTTGTCACATTTCTGAAATTCGGTGCCACCCCTCACGCAGATCCGCGGGGTCAGGGTCCAAAAACACATGGGATTTGCTATATTTCTGAAATTCGGTGCCACCCCTCACGGACATCCATCGCAAGGCGTAGTAACCCAAACTGCGAGTACTCCCTCGGCCCTTTAATCCCAAGGTGTGGTAACCAAGCTCGTAAACCATACACGTCTTACCAATCGCCCTGTGTGGTAACCCCTCTTGTGATCAGTTGGTTTTGCCGATTGCGAATCGGCCTCGCATGAAGTTCCGATACTGCTGCGCGACAGCGCCAAAGCCTTATGACTTAGCTCTTCCATGGCCCATTCTCCGAGAGAGGGGGCCGGCGGCAGGGGGCGAAGCCCCTACGGAGAAATACACATACATGGATCAGCACCTTGAAAACTCAATGAATTCGGATGTTTGTCCGTTTTGCTTCCTATTGGCTTGGCTTCCCACGCCTGAAAGATGCCTCCAACATCGCCTAAGATGGTCCCAAGCGGAAGCTGGAGGTTTGCAAAAGCTCCCAAGACTCCCAAGAGCGCTCCGGAAATGAATGGTGGGTAAACCTCAAGATAGCCCCAAGACGGCAACAAGAGACCACGAGATAGCCCCGAGGTGGCCCAAGACATCCCCTAAGAGGCCCCCAAAAGATCCGAGGCCGTAAGCGCCAAAGGTTGTTTAGTGATTATGGTGTCTCTCCATTTTGCTTATCATGGTCTTGTTTTTTCAATCAGTGGCACCCGCATAGCGGAAGCTATCGTGGAAAGTTGCGGCGAGCATTCGCCTAGTTATAAAATTGGGAAAATGAACAACTCGCACCAGGCGCTGTAAGTACCCAGACCGAGTTGTCTTCATAAAGTTTGCGGAACCTGCATGGTTGGATCCAGAGTGTTCGCTAGGAAGCTTGTGCTGTTGACCACGCACGCCTCATTGGATGAATTCATAGTCGACTGCTCCATTGTCTTAGAACTGCCGATGTTCAAAATGGCTTGCGCCAAGCGCTGTAAGCACCTGGGCAGATATGCCTTCATAAAGTTTGCGGATTTGAAAAACCTGGCACCCACGATCAAGTCCGGCCCGCTGGAAACGAGCTGGCGGCCTGATGATGCTGGGAAAGTCTTATGTGCCTCCTGCGGCTACAACGGAAGGAGGCAAAGGAAGGAGACAGGAAGGAGAGGTGGGAGGCGGGGATAGAATGATGCTTCCTTGGTAACGCTCATTCGGCGAAGTCAAATCATCAGAACATGCGCGCACTGTAACCGTCCGCGATGTGCGAGACAGGCCTGCTCCAAAGTTCGGTGACAGGAAGCCGCTGGCGGCTACACAGTGTGACTTACTACGAAGCGTGCCGTTAAAATCGGGCGGCAAATAAAAATAGCCCTGCTTAGGAGCGATGACGCTACCCTTGCGAACTTGTGTGGCAAGCTCATAACCATTGAACGTGTGTGCCGTACGCTGCACATGTACCTGAGAATTGCGTGTCGCAAACAGCGTGGCGAGCCCGAAGCCATTGTGAATGGGTGCGAATGAGTAGTGATGATGATTCAAATTCACTACCTCTGTCGGACAATCAACGCATCCAGAGTGACTGGTGCACCACTGAAGAGGTGAGGCTGGGAGAAGGCAAAAAAGAGGGGATTCCGTGTCAGGGGTGTCCCAACAGAGTATCGTCCTGGGGGGAAGGCGCATTCCTCAAAGGCCAGCGATCCGTGGAGGCTGGCTGGACCGCAGAATATTCGAGGTCTCTGCGGCAGAGTGCCGGTGCGGCGCTGACTTAATCTGCTCGACAAGCTCGGGCAACGTCCTGCGGCAGAGTGCCAGCGCACGCTCTGTGAAACAGCATCGGCGGCGTCATCGGCGCGGGCTGCACCTCGCTTATCGATGTTGGGGGGGTGCCGTCGGCACACGACTCTCGCAGAAGTCCTCTTCCCTCCCCATTCAAGCAACCCGTGGAGCCCTCCCGCTCGTCGACAGAGCATCGCGAATCACGCCACGCAGACCCGCAGGAAAGGTGTATGCCTTGCCGACCACTTCTGCGCCAGAAGAAAACTGAGTTCAGACACAGCCGAGCCACTACGACTGCGTCAGATCTACAAGCGGCGGCAAGCTCACAACAGCATTAGGAAGGCACCAACTATACACCAACACCGATCCTGGCCAGGATAACCCTGGGCCCAGGATCGGTGTATACGCCCTCCTGCCTTGCGCAAGAAGGCATATACACCGATCCTGGGCCCAGGGTGATCCTGGGCCAGGATCGGTGTTGGTGTATAGTTGATGCCCTCCGAACCATGGCAGCGCACACGCGCCTGCTCCGACGAGAGCCAACTGCCAGGGCCAGGAGCTCTCCCCGGGCGCGCGGGCAGCAGCACTTCCAGTGGCTGTCGGTTCACTCTCCCAGCTTCTGACCGAAAGCGGTGCTGAAAGAAGAAAGGAACTTACGTAAACCTGGTTCACCACTCCGCCTCGTCACTGGGCGCGAGTCTCAGTGGCCAGGGCGAAGGTATCGCACGACCCCGCGGCAAGGGAAGGTCCCCCCTGAGCAGCCCTCCTCCTCCTCCTCCTCCTCCTCCGCCTCCTCCTCCTCCTCCTCCTCCGCCTCCTCCTCCTCCTCCTCCTCCTCCTCCCTCCTCCCTCCTCCTGTCTTCTCTGCTGCGCAAGCGGGCAGCAGCCCCGAGGCTCGTGGCTGGCTCTTGCCGCTGCTCCCAGAGGAGCACCACAAAGCAGAAGGCAGTTGGAGGCAGCCGGGGGGATCTGAAAATCTGTCAAAGCTGAGCATGTTCTTAAGGTGGAGGGCTCAGGGCGGAATCGATATGGGCGTTTGCACCTCGAAAATCCATCCGTCTTGTGATTCACTAGTTGCAGATTCAAGCCTCGAAGATCAATCGAAACGGCATTTCAGATTTCACCCTTTGCCCTCCACCCCAAGAAAATGCTCGGCAAAGAGAGGGATGAAGCCAAATCCTCTCAAATTCGGTTCCTGGACCTCTCCCAGGGTCCATCTGGCGCAGGGTTTCACCCCGGGTCCGGTTTTGGCAAGGCCCCCGGGGCCCGAAAACGAACCCCACGAGGCCGAACAGAAGGCAAAACACCTCGCCGAACCCAGAACCTCGACCCTCTTCCCACCCTTCCTCCTGGCCGGAGCCTGTGCTGGGCCACCTCGGACCCCCGGCCGACTCCAAGAAGGCCGTGCGCGCCACAGACAGAACAGAAGGCAGGCAGCACGTGCCGCGGCGGGAGTGGACGGCGCCCACGGGAGAGCGCAGGGGGAGGAGGGGGAAGGCTCCTTAGAGGGAGGCTGCTGCTTGGGAGGCGCCGGCCCTGCATCTACAAACAAGGCCCGCGCCTTCTGAGACGGGGGTGCTCCCAAGATTCCCCCAAGGAGGCCCTCACGGCCTCCTACGACAATGTGGCCCTCGGAAGGATAGTGTGTCCTCTCGCGTGTCCTCTCCAATGAACGCCGACTGTGTTCGCCCGTATCGTCGCCTCCGAGGAGAAGAGGCCAGCCCAAGGTGCCGCAGGATTTCCAAGGAGGCCCCTGCGGCCTCCAGAGCAACCCTCACAAGGCCCAGGGGGGCCCGAGGGGCTCCAAACCCAGACCCCCGACGTCGTGCTTTTTTCAAAGTCGACCCTGGAGGCATCGACCCAGCCCCGGAACAGATTTTTCATCCCGAGTCGGTTGTTGGCGGTCCCGAGCACCGGCAAGGGCCCCCGGAGGCCCTTGATGGCTGAAAACCTTCAGTCGTGATCTTTGTTTGCGACGCGATCATGTCTGGGAGGGGCTCCAAAATGGAGCGACCAGCGGGGGGGCGCCTTGGGCCAGGGGCAGCTCCAGCAGCTCCCGACGAGGGCGCGCCCGGGGCAAGACTCTGTGGCTAAGTCGGGCCTGTCCCCCTACAGGGGGATTTGGGGTGAAAAACCAAAATAGTAGTCCCCTGACGATTTTTTGCATACTCCAGATTTCGTAATAAGGGGAGGGGGGTCTCATTTCGGGGGGGGGTCTCTTCCAGGCTATCTTGGAGGGCCTGGGGGGGTCTGGGGACGATGTTTTGGAGGGTTCTCCCACGGGGGGGGGTCTAAAACTTCTCGTCTGGGAGGGTTGAGACCCCCTCCCTTTTATTACGAAATCTGGCGTATGTTTGAAGATTCCTCCTGTAGAGGGACGTGCCCGATTTAACTCTGGGGGCCCGCCGCCCGTGGTCCTCGTCGCGCCTGGGGCCCCGGGCCCTCCCGTCCCTCGACGACGAGGCTCTCTGAGCACGGGCCCGCGAAGTCCGCGCCACCTTCCTCCTCCTCCTCCTCCCCCTCCTCCTCCTCCTCCTCCGCCTCCGCCTCCGCCTCCGCCTTCGCCTCCGCCTCCGCCTCCTCCTCCTCCTCCGCCTCCTCCTCCTCCTCCTCCTCCTCCTCCTCCTCGCGGGGCGAAAGGGCAGGACAGCGAACGATCAGCAGTAGAAGAACCCCTAACCCTTTGGGAGGGGGCCTGACTTGGGAGGGCCAGGAACATCAGGGATTGGGGGTCGTGTTGGGGGGGAGGAAGGGGGAACGAAAGGGCAGGATAGCAAACGATTAGAGATCAAACAACTAGCCTTTTAGGAGGGGACCTGAGTTTGGAGGGCCAGAAACATTAGGGATTGGGGGTCTTTTCTGCAGACGTACCGAACCAAACCGCCCAGACTCACGATCCCTAATGCGAAGACGGGCTAAGTGAGGCCACGTCGTCACCGTGACATTGGGCTTAGGGTTTTTTGTGCTCGATGAGCAGAGGGCAGGGCAGAGAATCAGCTCACCTGGCTGGCTTGCCTGGCGCCTCCTGGCGCCGGGAGGCGCTCGTGTATCCAGAAATCGGCCAGGCGGCGGGGCGGCGGAAACCAGCTGCACGCAGCACGGTTCGTAGCCCTCCCCTTTCCCTATCATGCCCCGTCGTCTGGCCCGATGCCTACCAGACCACCCCAACCCGACCCAGAGTCCCCAACTTCAGGTTGGGAGGCGTACGGGTTCTACCCGTATTGCTTCGATGCTCCAGGATGTCCCCCCACACACTGGGCATGGAGAGCTTATTGGGGCCTTCGGCTTGGCTTGGGGAGGTTTGGTGGGTGATGCCTTCCTCCCGCCCATCTCCGCGCCCCCGAGCCCCTCACTGAAGCCACGCGCGTCGAGGACTCGGCGCGTACGGGCGCCCCACAGCAGCGCGACCCCAAGAGAGCACGAAGCACTAACTTAGCACGGGCCGCAGCGTAAGACGAGGCCAGGACGAGGACTAATCCGGATGAGGACGAGCCGAGCAGCTCTGAGGCCCAGCCGCACTGGAGGATGTCTCGGGCGCCGCAGCCTTCTCAGAGCCTTCCGGAACGCGCTCCGGAACGCTCTGGAACGGACTTGTCCTCTTCCCAGCCCCGTCCGAAGGTAGCCCTTAGCGCAACACTCCGCCCAGCGACCCCTGGCGCCGCCAGACGAGGTCCAGCCCGGCCCAGCGACTCCACAGCACGCCGCCGCAGCCCATCGAGGGGCTCGCCTCGAACGCCGCCGGCCGGCAGACTCCGCTGGCGAACCGGGCGAGCTCGTCGCTGATCTTGGCGCAGAGGTCCTCGCTGGCGCCACGCAACTTGCGCAGGGCGTCGCGGGAGTCCTCTAAGACGAGGCCAGGACGAGGATAAATTCGGGTGAGAATACATCGAGAATCTCTGAGACCCAGCGGCTCTGGAAGACGTCTCGGGCGCCGCGGCCTTCTCAGAGCCTTCCGGAACACTCTGAGAGCGTTCTGGAAAGCTCTGGAACGGATTTATCCTCGTCCTAGCCCCGTCCGATCCTCCCCGTCCTCGTCGGAGGGCCTTTCCGAGCTGGAATATGTCGTCAGCACGAGCCACACCGGCTCCGCGGAGACCGGATCGACGGCAACCATCAGGCCGCGGATGTACACCGTGCTCCAGAAGAGCCAGCCCTGTTTGCTCCGGTTGACTACCCGGGCGAAGAGTGGGCTTCCAGTCAGGTGCGCGTTCTTGATCAAGGCCTGCATCTCGAGGGTCGTCCCGTACTCGCACCCTGCGGTGAGGAGCCGGGGAGACGCCTGCAACAACTCCGACTCGTTATATCCTGTGATCGCCTGGAACGACTCTGACACCGCGAGCAGGCGCTCGTCGGGATCCGTGGGATCCATCAGGGAGGCTGCGTGCACGCTGTTCTTGACCACGCTCTGGACGATCGGCATAATGTCGCCTTTCTGCAGCTCCATGCCTCGCTCTTCCAACGAGGAAGCGTCCGAAGACGTTATCTGGGATACCTGCCTGCTGGCAGAGGTTTCCAGACAGTCGCTGTTGGTGTCCGCACTCGAGACTCCTCTCCCGTCGAGGCTGCCGAACTTGCTGAGGTCTCCCAGCTTGGCAGTTTCGGTGTTTGCCCCGATGAGTTCGCAAGCGGTGCTGGCGAAATCCCGTGGCAACAACAGCGGCATTGCTGACTGGGCGTGCGCCATGCCACGGACTGATTGGGATCGTTCTCTCTTTAGCCAAACCGGCTTGAGCCAAAGTGGCTTGAGCCAAAAATGTCACAGATCCAAAAGGGTTCCAAATTGGAGCTGAAGAGCTCCAAGAGGGCTCCGAAGACTCGCAAAAGCGCCCCGAGAGAGGCCCTAGAGAGCTCCCGTTGTGCCTCAGAACGGAAGGAGACAGGGCATCCGTAGGTGGCTGGTCCCCAAAAAGATACCCACAGCAGTCTTAAAAGGTCCCCAGATGGCCCCAAGGTGGCCCAAGGGTTCAAGACAGCCCTCAAAGGGCACCCAAGAAACTCAAATCATTCAAAGACCTAAACTTGCTCCAAACTTGTTATGTGGATTTGGATTGCTCCCCTCTTGACATCCTGTGGGCTTAGGAGGCCCCAGTGGCTGCGTTCGCATGCGGCCCCGCCCCATTTCGGCAGATCCCTCACACGCATCGTGGCCCCATAGGGAGCTCCACCAAAGGCCCCTGTGGCTGCGTTCGCAATTCGGCAGGCCTCTCGCAAGCTTCGTGGTCCCACAGGGAGCTCCACCGAAGGCCCCAGTGGCTGCGTTCGCATGCGGCCCTGTCCCCCATTTCGGCAGACCCCTCACACGTTTCGTGGCCCCGTAGGGGGCTCCACCGAGAGCCCCAGTGGCTGCGTCCGCATGGCGTGGAGCGGTCCTGTTTATAGCCGCCACTCGTTCAAAAAGGGTTCGGTTCTTCGCCAGGCTGTTCTTTTTGTCGCAGCCGCGAGGGTCCCCGTCGCGTTCGGGGGCACTCGTGGGGTGCCACAGGTCCGAATGGGGTACGACAGGCGAAGAAGGACAAAAAACACACGGAAGGAGGGAGGAGCACGTTCAGAGCGTGAAGTTCTTGAACGATCATGGGGCGAAGAAGAGCAGGTACTCTGCGTCCTCCACGGAGGCGTGTCCGACCCGAACATATAGTACAAACATATTGTAGTGCATCGTTTCCCGCACGGAATGGAGCTTCTACTATGAGATTTTCGGCGCGTGCGTCGCCCCTGATGGGGGGAGGCGTGCACACGTAGTATTCAAAGTTGTCGGGGTGACGCCGGAAGTGCTGGAGCAGTCGGCGTGGAGACAGTCAGGTCCTACGTCGGGCCGCACCGACGATGCATCGGCGATGCGGCGCGATCCTCCGACCCCATCGGCTAGGACCCAAAGAAGGAGGAGGGTGAGGAGGAGGGTGAGGAGGAAAAGGGAGGAAGAGGCGGATAGGGAGAAGGAGAAGGATGAAAGGTAAGGAGGAGGAGGAGGAGGAGGAAAACGAGGAGGAGGAGGAGGAGGAGGAAAACGAGGAGGAGGAGGAGGAAAACGAGGAGGAGGAGGAGGAGTGTGTGTGTGTGTGTGTGAAGCTCTTCAGAGAGGTGCCAGCATCTAGCAACAGTTCGCAGCTCTGGCCTTCGCTGGACTCCTCTCTAGAGTGCGCCGCGGCTCGTAACGAGGCCGCGCGTGGCCTCGAAGGCACCAAGCTCCCGCCCACCCCCTTCAACGGCTGGGTTGCCACGTTTTAAAGACAGGCAGGCCGAAGGGGCGGGGCTGTAAGCGGGAAAGAGGGCCCAAGTGCTCTGATGGGTCCGCAGGACGCGTCTCGGCGCCCGCGCCGGGGGACGGAGGGCCGTGTCGGACGAACGGGGGGTTCGCGCAGAGGGCGGGGGCAGCGTCGAGTCAGCTCACGCTGCCCCCCCCCCCCCCCAAGCGCAAGGGAGGCGTCGAGGGGCGCGCCCGGCGGCGGGGCCGAGACTGGCCGCAGGCGGCAGCTTTGCGTGTCCCCGCCGCCTCCTCCTCCTCCTCCTCCTCCTCCTCCTCCTCCTCCTCCTCCTCCTCATCCTCCTCCTCCTCCTCCTCCTCCTCCTCCTCCTGGCACGGGGGAGGCGGGTCCCGAGGGAAACGGGGCCTGGGCCCTGGGGCCCTCCCCTGAGTATGCCTGGGGGACCAGGTCTAGGGGATCGGGGCGCAGGGCGCTCGGGAGGCATGCCACTCTCTTTTCCAACCTGCAGTGCCCGTTTGGGATCAACTGGCCGACATGGGCGGCGCGCCGACACCCCCAACGTTACACCGACGACCAGAAAATCAAGGTGTCAGGTTCCTGCGCGCAGCTCTATTGAGAGGCAGGGGACCTGGCCCAGGACCAGCTCTTCATCCTGAGTCGTTTGGCCCAACAAAATCGAGGCGAGCCGCGGCCAGACCGCCAGACCTGGACCTCCGAGGTCCGAGGGTCGACAAGATCGAGGTTCCAGGCTCGACAGGATCGAGGTTCGAGGACCGAAGAGGACCGAAAGGATGAAAGATGGATGATGGAGGTCCCAGAACCGATAGGATCGAGGGTCGAGGGTTAAGGAGCACCGTGCTTCTCCCCCCATGCGCCAATAATCTGTGTACACCATTTGGCAAAGTTTGCATGTACCTTCAGGGAGGGCGGCGGTATCCAAAGTCGCTGGCTCCCAGCGGTAATTCATACACCGCCCCCTCCCGCCGTGTCCCAGACATCCGACGCCGTGATTTTCCACCACGTGGCTCCCCAATGGTCTGGACCTCTTCCACCGGGCGTGCTTCTCGCGCCCCGCCGCTTTGCGGACGGCCCCAGGGGGGCCCATGGAGGGCCCCCGTCGTCGTCGTCGTCGTCGTCGTCGTCGTCGTCGTCGTCGTCGGAAGCCCGTCCGCCGTGCTTTGTGCATGGCGCGGGGAGGTCGGAGTCCGACAGACCTGATAAGGCCTTTGCCTTTGGCATGTCGGTGGTTCAAAGATGGGGTCCTGGGGGATGGGGTCCGAAGGACGAGGTGACCCCCTTGGGTCCGTTCCTATTCTCAGGACCCCATCCCTCAGGACCCTAGCTTTGAACCACCGAGCATGGGCGCTCGGCCGCTACCACATGCCACCAAAAATGAAAATCGAGTGAACATGCAAAGCGCACCAAAAACGCAGATCACGGCTCCCCAAGCCGGTCAGATGCGGAAATGCTGGCGTGGGCCTTCAGAAGGCCACAAACCTGCCCGAAACGCGTCCTAAAGAAAGGGGCCATTCAGTGGACGCATGCCCATCCCATTGTACAGTCGGGGTTGATTGGAGAGGACACGCGAGAGGACACAAGACCCTTCCGAAGGCCACAATGCCATAGGAATGTAAGCAGGCATGGGTCGCGAAGCTCAGGACACAAGGGTACCCTCGATTTGGCAGGGCCCACCTACTAATTAGCCTCGACTGTACAGGGACAACCCCAGCACAGTGCGTGCAACTCGGGCCACCCGCGTCCAGCCCACCATAAGTCGGCGCGGCCACCGCACCGCAGCGAATCCGCCGCTGGGCGCTGAGCCTCCACGCTTCGGGAGCTCCGTCAACGGCCTCCCCCCGTGCCACAGCCCTACTGACCGCGCCGCCGCCCTCACCACCTCTACTGCGGTTCTCCACGCCCAGCACGCTTCGATTACGTGGTGGACGCATGCCCATGGCACCGCACGTGGGAAAACCAAAGGGTACCGAAAACCCGCTACTCCCCAGACATCTCCCACGGCGGGTTCTGACCAGAACTTCGAGGCGAATCCGGCGGTGGCGATGAGGGACTCCCGGGAGGCCTGAGGAGGGGAAAACGGGCGAAGGGTAGCGGTTGGGGTACCTTTTCTCCTCCTCCGAAGACGAAGCCGAAGGGCACGTCTCGGCGCCCTCCTCCCGAAGGCTGAGCGGGCTCGGGCGCCAGGAGCGACAAGCTCGGGGGGCGGGGGGCCTCCGCGCCCTTCACCACGCGTATCGCCTCCGCCTGGCGGCCGCGCCCGGGCGAAGGAGAAGGAGAAGCACAGTTTCCCTCCTCCTCCTCCTCCTCCTCCTCCTTGTCCTCCTCCTCCTCCTCCTCCTCCTCCTTGTCCTCCTCCTCCTCCTCCTCCTCCTCCTCCTTCTGCTCCTGCTCCTGCTCCTGCTCCTTCTCTACCACCTGCTTCTCATCGTCCTCCTGTTCTTCTTCGCTCCATTCCTTTTCCTTGTAAATAACTCCTCCCTGTCGCACCCCGAGGCCGGTCGAAAGGGCGGGCTGGGCGGTTCGCCTGAGAATTCCTCACCAAAAATGATCCTGACGCATACAGCTTGGCAATCGCTTCGCAGATGGACAGCGGGTGGTTATCGCTCGTTTCTCAAGAATATCACGGATTGAGCGCGCGTCGTTTTCAAAATGTGGCCCTCGCCTGAGCGCCGTGCACACTCGTTTTGGACTGTTTTCAAAATGTGGTTATCGCATCAGCGCCGTGCACAGTCGTGTTTGAAATTTGCATTAGGTTTCACGGATTGACAACGGGTCGTTGTCAAAATGTGGCTCTCGCATGAACGCCGCGCACAGTCGTTGTTCGGATTGAGGGCGGGTCGTTTTCAAAATGTGGTTCTCGCCTAGCGCCGCGCACATTCGCTTTAAACATTTGCAAGAGCTCCACGGATTGAGGGCGAGTCGTTTTCAAAATGTGACTCTCGCATGAGCGCCGCGCACAATCTGTTTGAAACATTGCAAGAGGTTTCCCGGATTGAGGGCGGGTCGTTTTCAAAATGTGGCTCTCGCCGTAGCGCCGCGCACGTTTATTTTAAAAGTTATCAAGAATTCCACGGATTGGTAAGGCAACCGTAACGGAAATGGCGTTGTGGAACGATTCAAGACTCAGTCTTGAACCGCTCCACAACACTATTTCTGGTACGCTGATTCGCAATGTTGAAGTCTCCGGAATGGATCGATTCAGGATCGATGGTGTTCTGGATCGGTTCAAGATCGCCAAGACGTGCCACTCTGGTGAACTCGTGGCGTTGAAGTTCTGAAAATAATGTTTTGGCACGCTTCAGGATTTTCAGACGTTTCTCCCCCTACGGAGCAACTCCCTCGGTGAAGATGAACCCTTGTAGGGGCCAAAGAAGAGGGAGCTTGGAGGAGCTTGGAGGGAGGGTGTATTGCAAGATCGCTGACGAGTCTTAGAATCCCAGGATGGCTTCCAAGACGGCCCTGAAGTACCCCACGCGGACCCCAAGTCGGCCCAGAGAGGCCCACGAGGCCATCAAGATGGCCCCAAGATGGGCCAAGAGACCTCCAAGACGCCCAAGATGGCCTCCAAAACGGCCAGGAACGCCCTCTGACTGCCCAAGAGCCTCCCAACGAGCCTCCAAGGACCCCCAAGAGCCCAAGGAAGCCCCCAAGACACCTGCCAGGGAGGCCCTAGGAAGCTCCAAGGAGGCTCAAAGAGCGACCCAGGATACTCCCAAGAGGCCTCACTCCCCCCCCCCTTTTCCTCCCTCTCCTCCTCTTCTCCTTTCTCCCCCACGTGGTCCCCGAATGGTTTCCACAACGGCCGGGGGACCACAGAATCGCACAGCTTGGCCGATTTCTGGTCGCAACGTTCGGCCACACAGGCGCTGCCACAAGACAAGGGGCGGCGGATATCTGCCGTAGACGTCGTCGATGATAATGCGCAAGGGCTACGATTGCGTTACACGGATGGGGGGGGGCGCTTTCTGTTCAAAATGGCGGCATCGCGTGAGACTTCGAGAACGCGCGTCTACCTCTGGCGCCTGGTGCGACAAGGTTCAATTCACCGATTCACCCTCTTCCCGGTGGTCTTGCCTCTGAGATGCCCGCACGCTGGCCGCCTTGCGTTCCTGGCAGCTTTCGCAGCCTGCCTTCAGCCCCCGGGGCTCCTCAGCCTCCCTCGGCGGCAGCCTCGGCAGCCGTGAGTGCGCTCGCTGGGCAAGTAGGCTTCGCCCGCAGCCCGGGTTGACCTCTGACGCCGCCTGCGCCTTCCATTGCGGCTGCGACGGAAAAGAGACTTCGAGAGAGTGACCAGAACTTTGCCACGTAGTTACACGCGTGGAGGGCGGCTCCCGTTCCAAGCGGGGCTACCGCTGGAACGCTCCTGGAACTGCGCACACCTCCACCCTGCCGCACTCCCTAGATCCCGAAGGAGGAGGAGGAGGAAGAGGAGGAGGAGGACGAGGAGGAGGAGGAGGAGAAGAACGAGGAGGAGCTCGAAGGAGGAGAAGAAAGCGGAGGAGGAGGACAGGTGAGCGACCATCGGCAGTCCGAGGCAGCGCCCTTCCCCTCGAGGTCCCACGCCCCGCGGGGGGCGTGACTAAGGGGGGGGCTCTTACCGCCCCGTCGCGTCCAGACGGCCGGGGAGCACCTCAACAGAGGCGAAGCATGTTGATAAACCCCAGAAGTTTGCTAATCCGACGTCTCGATCACAAAACATATGTCGAATGATGAGTGGGCGCTTCTTTGGCAGGGCTCCCGCCGAGTCTAGATAGGTAACGCATACCCACCAACCATCATTCTCCTGAACCGATGGGCGGCGGGGGTAGGGTTCGGGTTTCCCCACGCGTTCGACGACTGCCGAACCCTCCCCCCGCCGCCCATCGAGTTGCCTCAATCGTGGCTCGGCGAGGGTAGGGTTCGGATTTCGACGCCGCTTTCGCCCGAATCCATGAGCCGCCAGGGCGCTCATTTCTCAAGGGGAGGGGGCGCTGCGCGCAGTGGTAAAAACAATGCCGCGAAGACGAATGAGAGGAGGGGGCTCGGGACGGGGGGGTGTATCTCGCAGCCTTGTCGACGTGTCCTGGGTTTGTTATGGCCTTCCTCCTCATCCTCCTTCCTTCCCCCTCCTCCTCCTCCTCCTCCTCCTCCTCCTCCTCCTCCTCCTCCTCCTCCTACTACTACTACTACTACTACTACTACTACTACTACTACTACTACTACTACTACTACTACTACTACTACTACTACTACGACTACGACTACTACTACTACTACACTACTACTACTACTACTACTACTACTACTACTACTACGACTACTACTACTACTACTACTACTACTACGACTACGACTACGACTACGACTACTACTACTACGACTACTACTACTACTACTACTACTACTACTACTACTACTACTACTACTACTACTACTACTACTACTACTACTACTACTACTACTACTACTACTACTACTACTACTACTACTACTACTACTACTACTACCTACTACTACTACTACTACTACTACTACTACTACTACTACTACTACTACTACTACTACTACTACTACTACTACTACTACTACTCCTACTACTACTACTACTACTACTACTACTACTACTACTACTACTACTACTACTACTACTACTACTACTACTACTACTACTACTACTACTACTACTACTACTACTACTACTACTAACTCTCTCCCTCCCTCCGTCCCTCCTTCCCTCCCTCCTTCCCTCTTCTCTTCTCCCCCGCGTTCCTCCGTCCTCATCCTTCCTCCTCCTCTTCATCCTCCTCATCCTCCTCCTTCTCCCCCATCCTCCTTCATCCTCCCTCCCGCTCCTCCCTCCTCCTCCTCCCCCTCCTCCTCCTCCTCCTCCTTCTCCTCCTCCTCCTCCTCCTGCTCCTCCTGCTCCTCCTTTTCTTCCTCGTCGTCCTCCTCCTGCTCCTCCTCCTCCCTCGATTGTTGTTTCAGGCAGAGGCCCGGTGGAGCATCAGATCTGCTTGCCGACCCAAGAACAATGATAACCCACACCCTTCTGGGTGTCTCATTTTATCAGGCAGAATCCGCATGGATCCTCTGATCTATCGCCCCACATAGCAAGAGCTGATGGTCAACGTTCCTAGCACAGTGAGGGCTTTCCATGACAACAGCCACGCTGGGAAGTTTCACAGGACAGTTGCGGGTATTGCAACGGCTAGAGGCGAGCCCGGGGGGGGAGTGAAAAGGGGCGGGCCTTCTCAGAAGGCTCGGAAGTCCCCCGGCCTTCTGAGACCTGTTCTAAGCCTTCCCCGAAGACACCGAAAACTGATCAGAAGGCCGGAGGGCTTCTGATAAGCCCGGCCGCCTTCAGAGAAGGCCTTCTCCTTCTCACTTCCCATCTCGCTCGCCGCCGAACATGGACGTCTTCTGTGATCGGGCCCCCCCAACGCATCAAAGCCCAAAGCAGGGCCAGCCCTGCTCCTCCCTCCTCATGACGGGCACAGAAAGCAACACACGTCGGTCGGAAGAAGTAGGTTGGGTTCAGGCCCTCCCAGACAATACCAGAGCACAGAAAAAGCACATCGATTATTGTAGGAAGGCGCCTAAAGTAGATTGGGATCTGGGCATCTAGTAGTACCTAGTTTCAACAGCCAGCGTGTATGTAGTTGGCGTGAGCTGCAGCGGTGGGGCTGCGAGGGCGGAGGCCGCAGAGGCCAGGCGGAGGAAGTCGGCGGGCAAGCCTCCGCCTCGGCCATGGAGGCGCCGCGGAGGTTCCTCTGAACGACCAGCTCGCCAAAAGCTCCCTTGACCTACGCGGCACGGGGCGGGGAGGGAAGGGGAGGGGGGGATTTCTTCACTAGGCCAGGTGCCCGCCAAACCAGCGGGTAAATAGAGGCAGCGTCAGTCGGAGCCCTGCTCGCTGCCTGCTTGACTGGGTGTCGCTAGGCCCGCCAAGGCGTCCTCAGAGCCTCTGCAAAACTCTCGAGCTGAGCCTCTGACTCAGCAGCAAAAGAATCGCAAGTGCCAGCAAGGGAAAGGAGGGAGAGGAGAGGGGCAGAGAAGGAGAAGAGAAGGAAGCAGGATGGGGGCAGGATATTCCTAAGGCACCTCCGTAATGGTGATGTGGGAATGGACTGGGTTAGGGGCCGAACGCCACCCAAATTGCCCCCAGTCAGTCTTGTGCAGATGCAGGGCTCACTGGTGTGCGCTGTGAGCAGGAGTGAGTACAGGATTCACCGGATAGACGGACAACATGGCGTCGAGCATGTGCGTATCATATCATCCCTCCCCATTCTCCCCCTCTCTCACCCTCTCGCCCCCTCCTTACCCTCCTCCTCCTTTTCCTCCTCCTTCGCCTCAGAATCATAATCATAAGCATCATTATCATCATCAACACCATCATCATCAGCAGCAGCATCAACATCAGCATCATCATCATCATCAGCAGCATCATCATAATCAACATCAACATCATCATCATCATCAGTAGCAGCATCAGCATCATTATCATCACCACCATCGTCATCAGCACCATCACCATCATCATCATCAGCAACAACAACATCAGCATCGTCATCAGCAGCAGCATCATCAGAATCAGCATATTCATCAGCAGCAGTATCATCGCTACCAGCATCGTCGTCAGCATCATCAGCATCAGAATCATCACTGCAAACATCATAGCCACCACAAACATGATTACCACCATACGCTTCATCATCGGTATCATCAGCAGCAGCATCGTCGTCATCAGCATCAGCATCGCCACCCTCATCCTCAGCATGATCATCATCATCAGCATCATCATCCGAATCAGCATCATCAGCATCATCAGCATCATCAGCATCATTTTTCAGAACCAGCATCGTCATCATCAATGACATCAGTATCAGCATCGTCAGCATCGTCAACACCATCAGCAACAACATCAGCATCACCAGCAGCAGCATCATCATCAGCATTGTCAGCATCATCAACAGCGATATCATCAATAATACCAGCAGCATAAACAGCATCACCAGTATCATCATCATCATCACCATCATCAGCATCGTCACCATCCGCAGCGTCATCATCAGCATCATCAGCGTCGTAATCAAGAGCAGCAACATAATCACAAGCGCCAGCATCATGACCATCAGCATCATCACCGTCATCACCAGCATCATCATCATGAGCATCGGCACCACCCTCATCATCATCAACGCAGTCACCATCATCATCAGCATCATCAGCAACGACATCATCATACTCATTATCATCATCAGCATCATCATCAGCATCATCCGCATCATCCGCATAATCATCGTTAGCATCATCATCAGCATCATCATCACCATCATCATCATCAGCAACAGTGGCATCATCATCATCATCAGCACCATTATCCTGAACCCTCATCCTTTTCCTCATCATCATCCTCATCCTGCGCGCTTACCCAAGCGAAAAGGTGAAGCCCCTCTGGCTGGAAAGCGAAGGGCCTGCGGGCCACACCCAGCCTCCCTGCGACGCCCTCCCCCTCCTCCTTATGATTTTTCCCCCCCTCTTCCTTTTCCTCCTCATCCTCATCCTTTTCCTTTCAAGGTGTTGAAGTTCCAAAAATTAGGTTTTGGCAAGATTCCATATCGTCAGGACGCAGCAATCAGGTTGATCCGCGGCGTGGAAATCCCGAGAACAATGTCTTGGCATGCCGAAAGGTTTTCAAAAGGTTGTCTCCCAACGAGCCGGTTCCCTCAATGGAACTGAACCGCTGTAGGCGCCTATGAAGAGGGAGCTTGGAGGGAGGGTAATTTCAAACACCGTTGATGACTGCTGGGCGTACACTGGTCCTGATGCTCGTACTGTTACTCCTCCTCCTCCTCCTCCTCCTCCTCCTCCTCCTCCTCCTCCTCCTTCTGCTCCTGATCCTCCTCCTCCTGCTCCTCCTCCTCCTCCTCCTCCTCCTCCTCCTCCTGCGAGCGGCGAGGCACGGTCGCGGCCGCGCTTGCGCCCGCTCTGTCGCCGACGAGCGGCGCGACGAACCGGTGGTGCTCCACGGCGATACACCTCCCGGCCGGACGTCAGGGCTAGCGGCTAGGCCCGGCCCCCGGCCGGATGGTCGCCCAGGTCCTCCAGCTCAGGCGGCGAGCTCGGCGGCCAGTGCCGCGCGGGCGCGCGGCCGCGCCGCCTCCGCCCCCAGCGCTGTGCGCAGCTGGCGCGCGGTGGCCGCCTGCAGGGCCACAGCCAGTTCCGCGCCCCAGCGGCGCGTGAGGGCGCCGGCCGCGGCAGCGGCGGCAGCGGGGTCGTCCCCTGCGAGCAGTTGCGCCCGGTCCCTCGCCAGCAGGCGCAGGTGGCGCAGGGCGGCTGGGCCGTGGCGCCCGCCCGTTTCGAGGGCGAGTGGCACCATCCGCGGGCGCTCGCCCGGCAGGGTACCGAGCGTGTTTGTCCGCCTCGGCGCCCTTGTTGACGGCGCCGTCCCGCGCCGCGGCAGCCTGGAGCCCCTCGGCGTCGCCCGGCACGGCGTACCGCACGGTGACGTCCAGGAAGACTCGGGGGCAGTCAGCCCGCTGAATCTCCAGGTCGAGGATGGCTTCCTCGCGCCGGGCTGCGAGCGGGGCGCCGCAGGAACAAGCCGCGCCCGCTGCCGGCCAGGTCGCCGCCGTGCCGCTCGCCGCACAGCTGCTGCAGTGCCAGCGCCAGCGGTCCCAGGCGGGCACTGGCGTCTGGCGAGCCACCTGGTAGCCGCACTCGGCATGGATGTGCGCCCACGCCGCTTCCAAGTCGCCGCTGCGTGCCTTGAGGCCCCCTCCGCGCGGTCGCCCTGCCGAGGGCCGACAGTCCCGCCTCCCTCCTCCGAAGGCGCCCACCGCGTCGTCGTCGTCATCGTCGTCGTCGTCGACGCGGTTGTCTGTTTGGACGACCGAGGCCTCCTCCTCCTCCTCCAACCCCTCCTCCTCCTCCAACCCCTCCTCCTCCTCCTCCTCCTCCTCCTCCTCCTCCTCCTCCTCCTGCTCCCCCTCCTCCTCCTCCTCTTCCTCCTCCTCCTCTTCTCCTCCTCCTCCTCCTCCTCCTCCTCCTCTTCCCTCCTCCTCCTCCCTCCTCCTCCTCCTCGGACCCTCGGCCCGCGAAGACCTTTCCAGAGGAGGGCCCAGTCGTGGCGTCGATTGCGCCCACGCGGCGTTCCTCCTCGCTGCACCCCGCCCTTCATACCAGGAGCGGGGCGGGCCTTGGAGCAGCGTCCCTCCGGGGGCCCTCCCCGGGACCAGCCCCCCCCGCCCCGAGCCGCTCCCGAGGGGGAGGAGGAGGAGGAGGAGGAGGAGGAGAGGAGGAGGAGGAGGAGGAGGAGGAGGAGGAGGAGGAGGAGGAGAGGGGAGGAGGGAGGAGGAGGAGGAGGAGGAGGAGGAGGAGGGAGGAGGAGGAGGAGTAACAGGAGGAGTAACAGGAGGAGTAACAGGAGGAGGAGGAGGAGTAACAGGAGGAGGAGGAGGGGACGGACCGTGGGCCTTGGGAGGGCGCCCCTCTGCCGGGGGGGGGCCGACGGTGGGGGCGGGGCGTGTTCGGCCATGACATGGATCGGCGTCGGGCCTCCGACCCCGTCTGCTTCGACCCCACTCGGGAGACCCCCAGCGTCAGGTCCCTCTCCAGGGTTGTGGATGCCATGACAATGGACAATCTAGCAACCCTATCATTGAATTAAATAGTGTTCACAAATGTGTAAAACATGTTCTGGGAACGTTTCAAACATTTTTTATATATATATATATATATATATATATAAAAAAAAATCATAAACATATATATATATACACATATATATATGGAACATAATTTAGACATCTGGAAATTATTTGGCAGCATGCTTCCTCTCCATTAATCGACTTCCACAACTCCAGGGGAGCGCTCGCGCCAGCTCTTCGAGGCGGATCCTGCCGCGGCGACGAAGGGCCCCGCGGAGGGCTGACAAAAAGACGACGAGCGTGCTCTCGGGCCTCGGACCGGCGGCGAGGCCCACGTGGGGAAGTGAGAAGGAGCGGGCCCTCTCAGAAGGCTCCGAGGTCCCACGGCCCTCTGAGAAGTTGCCTACGCCGTCCCTGGAGACAGGCGCGAGGGCTTCCGAGAAGTCCCGCCGCCTGCTGCGAAGGCCTTGTCCTTCTCACTTGCCCCCCTCGCCCGCCGCCGACGGGACCCCCTGTGAACCCGGGGTTCCTGGACCGTCTTCGGCGGCCTTCGGAAGTTTGTCGGCGGTCTTCGGCGGCTTCTCTCAACAATGTCCTCGGCGGCTCCCGGCGGTCTCCGGCGGCTTCCGCGCGGTCTTCGGCGCGAAGGCTGGGCGGCTGCGTTCCAGGGGGGAGGCCAACTTCAAGTCGGCGGCGCAGAGGATCCTCAGGCGCGAGCAGCAGATGGAAAAAGCGAACTGCGATCGAACGTTGTCGGCGGCGCAGCGGACAGACCGTGCACATCGTGTCAGTGCAGCGAAGGGTGGTGTGAAGGAGGAGCTGCAAATCCAAACCAGAGGGGGTCCAGACTTCTGTTGCTCACATCGTACTTGAGTACCACATCCCAGAAATAATTTCGAGCACACGGAAGTGTCGAAAGAGTGCCGAAACAGTGTCGAACGAGTGTCTCCCGGGGCCCGACACGTGAAGACCCGCGAGTTTCGATACTTTTGTGGTGCCCGAAATTATTCCTGGTGGTCAAGGCTACAGTAAGTTGGAACATCACTCGGCGGTGGGCAAACCTCCCTTTAATGAACCACCCTTTCATGAAAACGGCCTGGGACCGAAACCCGCGAACCTGGACCAGCAGAAATGACGGCCGCGACGCCCTCTCGCGAACCGAAAACGCCAATTCGCTAATCGACGTGTCAGGGTGGGAGGTCTGTCCACCACCGAATCATAAGCCCAGACTCGAACGCCCCAGGGCTGGAGCCCCAGAGGGCGCCCCTCTGGGGCGGGGCGGCGATGCAGGCGGCCTGCCCCCCCCGTGCCCGCGCGGGGGGGGGGGGCGAGAGGAGGCGGAGCCCAGGGTCGAGGGCCCCGGATGCCGCCCTTGTCTTGTTGCTGCGTACAGGCAACCCGTATAGGATAAGGGCCTTGGACGCCAATTTCGATGCTTCTCGAGCGGGGCGCGGCCAGAACTGGCGTTGCCAGAGCTGGGTTGAGTGGGACCTGGTTTAGCGATGTGCACTGGGGGACCCCCCCGACCCGTTCCACTAGCCGGAACTGCCGTCAACCAAAAAACACCAGCCACGGCAGACCTGGTGTAGTGATTCTGGCCAATTTAGGGGCTCCGGGGTCTTACCACTAACCGGGTTCCCCCCTTACCTGGGGTCCTGGCCATACCCGAAGCATGCAAGGGCCTCGGAAGGCCACGTCGAAGCTTTCGAGCGGAAAGTGGCCAAGGATGAGCCGAGGAGGTAAGGATGCAAAGGTACCCTCGGGAAGATTGGCCATCCTTACTATGCGGGTTGACTGTAGCGATCGTTACCCCAGGGGGGCGAGGGGGGCGCCGGCCAGAAAAAAAAAGTAGGGTCTCGACCACTAGAAACCTTCCGCAAGAAACCCACCCCGAAACCCTGGGATGCCCCTCGGTTTCTGCGAGAGGCAACGCCGCGCTTTCTCCCTGGCGGAGCCGTCGAGACCCAAGAATACCCAGGGCACCCTGGAGGCAGGCAGGATGCTTCTTGGTCCGGGTTTCTGCTGCATCGCCGGCGATCTGGGAGCCACGGACTCTCCTCCTCGGGGCCCGCTCCCCTCGGGGCCGGCCCTCTGCCCGACAGGGGGGCGGGCACAGCAGCAGCCCGTGTCGTGACGGCCGCGGCGCTGCGTCCCGACACCGCGGGGATCGCTCGGCCTGGAGCGGTCGGCGGCGTCTCGATCGCCGGGTCGTTCCAGGTTGGCCGACTCTGGGCCTGAGGGGGAGCGTTAGGAGACCACTGAAGAAGCCCTGGGACACACACACACACATAAACACACACACATAAACACACACACAGACATAAACACACACACACACACATAAACACACACAAACACACACACACACACACACACACACAAATACCAGGATTCCCCACACTTTCCCATGTTTCCTGAGTTTTTTTTCTTCCCCCCCACTTCCCACATTTTCCTATATTTTCTTGGGGAAGTCGACGAGATGTTGTCACTCCGTCAACGACCGGTCACTCCGGCGAAGGGCCACTCTTACGCGTCAGCGACGACAGGCCTCCCTGGCCCGCGACGGACCCCCCGCGTGGCGCTACTCTCGGGGAACCACAGTGGCATAAATATACAGTCGGACCTAGGACAGAAGAAAATCCCTCAAGAACACGAGACCCTCCGCCGGCCAAGACACACAGAACATCCAAGGGCACCTTCCCCAGCTTGCACAAAAACATCCAACAGACACGAACAAATTGTGTCTGTGTCTCTCTCCCTCCTGAGATCACCTGCTCCGCGGGGACGGTGTCGAGCTGCAGTCGGCGGTGCGCCGCCGCCAGATCGGCGACGTGCCCCCCACGGCAGACCCGCACGGTGCTGAGCGGTGCGGGCCGGCAGGCCCCGTCGGCGCTCGGTGGGCGGTGTGGGGTCGATTCGGAGCAGGAACAGTGACACACAGTCGGCCTCGATTGGACCGGACACGCGAGCGGACACATGACCCTCCCGAGGGCCACATCGCAATAGGAGTGTAGGAAGGCACGTGCCGCGAGGCACAGGACACAAGGGTACCCCTGAGCTGGCAGGGCCGACCTACTGATCCGGGCCGACTGTAATCAGAAATCAACTTTCGGAGGTCCGCGCGGGTGTTTCGGATCGGCCCTGGCCCCTCGGCGGTTCTGGTCACGCCACTGCCGACTGAGCGAGCCCAACGTTGCCCCTGGGGGCCGCTGGCGGCGTTCGGCCTTGCACGCCTGCGGTGGGGCCGGCGCCGCGCCGGCACGACGCGAACCTTATCGGAGGCGAGACCGCCCCCGCAGGGCGGGGGCCGCCGCCGCGGCGTCGCCTGCTCGTCCAGGCGCGCCTCCAGCACCAGCACCTCGCCGCCGCCGGCCTCCTGCCCCTCATCCTCCTCCTCCAGTCGCCGCTGTGGATTGAGCATCGGGGCGGCTTACACATCCTGCCATCCAGGCTCTCCTGACTGAGCCTCAGGCCAACTGGTCCAGACGAGAGAGAGTGGGTAGGCGCAATGATATGCTTGGCTGTTTTTTGTTATTGCCTGTCATGCCGATTTGTTGTACCCATCATCAGGACCGTGTTGGTCCTACGTGAATTATCGTGCAACGCAATCCTTCAGCATGTACGCGTGCAGACCAAGTTGAAGATGTGTGTCAGGCTTTGGAGGATGTCGACCTTGTTGCGCTGACTCGAACGCTGTTGCTTGCGAGCGAGAGTAAACCAGGTATGCAGCGTCGTAGAATGGCAGCATGGCCCAAATTTCAATAAGTCTTGTAGCATCTCTGTGATGATGCATCGGCGCTTTCGTGATTACCACATTCGTGCTGTTCGCGGGGGGCCTGAAAGGATGTTGGGTAGATGTATGGCAATGCGAGTTGGACCCGTTCTGAGGGTTTGACCGCGCTTTCCCTTTATTTTTCCTGTCAGAGCGACAGAGACTCACAAGCAGGAGAAGAATCGGCGAACATTTCGTGGTGTACCGAAGTGATTGTTCTGGGTCCAAAATGTAACCATGTGACTTGAATGAGGGGATTGGCCTCCAAAAATCCAGAAATCCACAGATACAGAAAGCATCGGCCCAGAGGTTGTCCTTTCGAGGGGGCTGGTGTGGAGCATTTTGCAAGTTGCCGCCTTTCGTGCTGTCTTGCACGCGCAATACATGTCGCCTTCTCTACGCTCCGTGGTATGCCGGCGTTCTAGGAAACGGATTTTGCAGCATCGCGCCTGCTCCAAACCGCATGGCCCCAGCAAGTGCAGTGCACTGCTCGGCGGCCAAGCAGTGGCAAACCCCATTGGGCGCAACCTCCTGCGCACATGGCGACCTTGAGGCGCCAGGAAAAGCCCACGGGTCTACAGCCTACACTCGACCAGGATAGTAAGGATGCGCGATATAAGGATGCAAGGGCCTTGGACGCCCGTTTGGATGCTTCTCGAGCGGGGCGCGGCCGACGAAAGTGTCCAAGGATGGACCCAGGAGGCAAGGATGCAAGGGTACCCTTGGGAAGATTGGCCAACCTTACTACGCGGGTTGGCTGTACAAGCCCGCGCCCGCCCGCCCCAACAGCCAGTGATCCCACAGATAATGTCCAGGGGGCCGCGCTGTCCCCCTACAGGGGGATTCTGGGCGAACGATTAAGAATATTCCACCCTAGCATTAAAATAGTAATAATAATAATACTAATAATAATAATATTGTAATAATAATAATAAACAACAAAAAAACGTCCCTAAACTAGTATGTTGGCTATGCTTGAACATTCCCCCTGTAGAGGGACGTGCCAGACTTGAAGATGATGTCCAGGGGGCCGCGCTGCCCACGCGTCTTCGCCACTGCCCGGGGGTGCCACCTGAAATTGCTTCGACGGGCTCGCTAGTCCGCCCGCCGCCTCGCCCTCGAGGCCTCCCAGTCGACCCCAGTGCCCTGGTCGCGCGCCCCGCGCTGACCGTTGTGGTTCGCCCAAGAGAGGTCGTGTGGGAAAGTGTTGATTTCCTGGTCCGTCCGCAGGGCAGGGTCGACCTCCTCCTCCTCCTGCTCCTCCTCCTTCTCCTTTTCCTCCTTCTCCTCCTCCTCCACCTCCTCCTCCCTAGCCTCCTGTTCCTCCTGCTCCTCCTCCTCCTCCTCCTCCTCCTCCTCCTCCTCCTCCCCATCATCATAATCATCATCATCATCATCATCATCATCATCACCACCACCATCATCACCATAATCAGCCTCGTCATCATCACATGATTCACCATCATCATCAGCATCATCATCATCACCATCATCATTGTCATCACCATCAGCATCAGTATCAGCATCGTCGTCATCACCTCCATCACCCTCATCAGCAGCATCGTCGTCATCATCGTCAGCATCATCGTCAGCGCCACCATTCATGTTCATTATCACCATCACCATCCGCATCCTCGTCATCATCATCATCACATCATCATCATCATCATAATCATCATCAACATCATCATCATCATCATCATCAACATCAACAACAACAACCAATTTAAAGCTGTACGCCCTTACTTGCCCGCGAGTCATTCAACACGTATACCCTACACCCTCGATACCCGCCCTCTTCGTCTTCGATCACACCCCTTTCGGGGGGATTATTTCTCTTTGCTGGGGCCGGCGGGCTTAGACGTACGGGCAAACCGGAACGGGCGGACAATCCTTCGGGGGCGTACATCTCTCTGCCCGCCATTGGAATTGGCGCGGGCCCTGCAAGAGGAGGAGGGGAAGAACGAGGGAGAGTGGGAGGAAGGGGAGGGGGAAGGACGAAGGAAGAGGGAAGATACCACGTTGTGAAGGCGTCCTTGGCGCGTGCGTGGTTCCTGAGCGCCGAAACGCAATTCCAGAATAATTTGTGAGGACGTCGCACGCGAGAGCGCAGTCCTGAGTACATTGTGAGGAAATCTCAAGCGGAAGCGGGGGCCCTGACTAAGTTGCGAGGAAGTCTCAAGCGGGAGCGCCGTTCCTGAGCAAATTGCGCGGAAGTCTCAGGCGGGAGCGGGGGTCCTCACTAAATCGCGAGGAAGTCTCAAGCGGGAGCGCCGTTCCTGAGTCAATTGCGCGGAAATGTCAGGCAGGAGCGGGGGTCCTGAGTAAAATTCGAAGAAGTCTCAGGCGGGAGCGCCGTTCCCACGTAAATTGCACGGAAGTCTCAGGCGGGAGCGGGGGTCTTGATTACATTGCGAGGAAGTCTCAGACGGGAGCGCCTTTCCTGAGTAAATTGCGCGGAAGTCTCAGGCGGGAGCGGGGGTCCTGAGTAAAAATCGAGGAAGTCTCAGGCGGGAGCCGTTGTTGTTGTAGCCCGGGGGGCAGGGGCACAGTTTGAGCAGGAAGACTTTCCTTGAGAAAAAACAAAGTGCGAGCCCCGGGGGTGGCACTTCAATCGAAAAAAACCGGTGGGGGGGATCAACAATAATTATTCTTCAAGAATGAGAGTTCAACAACAACAACAACAACAACAATCATTTTACCCGAACGCGTGGTGTTCTCCCCAGTGCCAGGGTTTTCATACGACACCAGGCAATACCCCCACTTCGTGGGGGGGCATTACAAGCTCTACCAAATATCCAAACGACTCTTCGCGACCACCCAAACCCAGCTTCCCGCCCTATGACGTTGGGACACTTCACTTCGTGGCGTGCGGACGACCGTGGCTACTACACTGGCGTGGGGTACACACCCACAGAACCCAATGGTTTTTGGAGATTTCGGCGTGCGCGCGCGAAGAAAAAACGAATGTGTCCCGCATGGTATTATTTGACAGGGATGATGGCCCTGGCAGGTGCGCAACCGTTGTCGCAGAAGTTCGAAAAAGTTGCTCGCAAAAGCCCGTTTGACAGAAATGTTTAAAAAGTGTTGGGTTTCCTACGAATCCGCAAGAGCGCGCGGGATGAGATTTTGACATTTTTTTGTTGAAAAACCATTGGTTTTTTGATGTTTTTATGTTAAAATCGCTCCGAACACTAAGCTTTTGGAAGGATTTCGTCTTGCGCGCGCGAATGTCCACTTTACCTTATTTTTTGCAAGGGATTCTTGAAATTTGATTATATTAGAACAAGAAATGTCATTTTATAGTGTTTTTTGCAAGGGAAAACGGATTACAACAAAACAACCGGATCTTGATCACATCGTTTTACCTGAGGCTTCCTCACGAAAATGATGAAAATGTGGCTGCGGCCTAGGCGCGGCGGGGGGGGCGCGCACCAGGGGGCCCAACAATAATTATTCTTTAGAATTAATAATGTTCAACAACAACAACAACAACAATCACTTTACCCGAACGCTCAGTGTTCTCACCAGTGCCAGGGTTTTCATGCGACGCCAGCCAATACCCCCACTTTGTGGGGGGGCAGTGCAAGCTCTACCAAATATCCACACGACTCTTCGCCACCACCCACACCCAGCTTCCCGCCCTATGACGTTCGGACACTTCACTTCGTGGCCTGCGGACGACCGTGGCTACTACACTGGCGTGGAGTACACACCCACAGAAGTTGTTAAGCCTACGTTCGTACACCCACAGAAGTTGTTAAGCCTTGTTAACCCACAGAAGTTGTTAAGCCTTCCACAGAACATCTGTTGCATATGATGCATATGGTACATGATACACATGATACACATGATACGTACTCACAAGATAGTTGATCACATCTTTAGGGCAAATTCCTGAGGGATGTGGGAATACACAAGAGAGAGAGAGAGGATATGGTTGTCCCGATGGTTGTCTCGAAGAAGTTGCTCGCAAAAGCCCGTTGACAGAAATGTTTAAACAGTGTTGGGTTTCCTACGAATCCGCAAGAGCGCGCGGGATGAGATTTTGACAATTTTTTGTTGAAAAACCATTGGTTTTTTGATGTTTTTATGTTAAAATCGCTGCGAACACTAAGGTTTTGGAAGGATTTCGTCTTGCGCGCGCGAATGTCCACTTTACCTTATTTTTTGCAAGGGATTCTTGAAATTTGATTATATTAGAACAAGAAATGTCATTTTCTATTGTTTTTTGCAAGGGAAAGCGGATTACAACAAAACAACCGGATCCTGTACACACCCTCTTTTCTGAGGCTTCCTCACGAAAATGATGAAAATGTAGCTGCGGCCTAGGCGGCGCAGGGGGGGCGCGCACCAGGGGGCCCAACAATAATTATTCTTTAGAATAAATAATGTTCAACAACAACAACAACAACAACAACAACAACAGCAGCAGCAGCAGCAGCAGCAGCAGCAGCAGCAGCAGCAGCAGCAGCAGCAGCAGCAGCACCACCACCACCACCACCACCACCACCAACAACAACAACAACAACAACAACAACAACAACAACAACAACAACAACAACAACAACAACAACAAAAATATC